CCCCACCCCCTTTAAGCTCCCCCGATTATCAGGATGGTAGACAGACTGAGACCCCTGTCTGCCCAAAAAGGCTTGGTTTTACGGACCCCGGTGACACCGCACAAGTTAAACTGCCTGCAGCTATCACGCCTATTAACAGTCGCATCCGGCCCCGGCAACTCAAATGAAGGCTGTTTCAACAATGTGGAGAGGGATTAGCATAATTCCTGCAATTAGCTGGAGCGTTCCATGAACGCAGAAAAGACCGACCAAACAGAGCACATCGCAAAACCAAGCGGGTTTCATGCTAGAACGTGTTCAAACACGCATCGTGGGATTTGGCCTGCCTTTATGTATATTCAATAGTATCACGTGTGTGCGTAACTTGTAAGAGGTTTGTGTTTTTGTTTTAGCAAGATGAACAAAATTAAAAGATTTGGAGTGAAAATAAGACATTCGAGTACCAGCATAATGTTGAGGAAATAGCGCGTCCAATGATTCACAGTACGCCGTTTTTAGTCTAATAAGTGAACTATTGGACAGGTAGGTGTTAAACTGGGGCGCAGTTCATTCTGCTCAACGCTTTGCTAGTAGAACCACATGCATATTTCCCATTGGCTGCAGTGGAGAACATTTAAATTCACATGCACATGTCATTCAGCGATCTAACAGAATTGCCGGCTAAGATAGAGGTGATGCGTTCTGCACGAGAACTCCCGCCTAGTGCACCAGCAAGCGGTTTGGCGACAATCAGTAGTTCGCAATAGCAAATATTTTGCTATGGAAATCTTATATGGCCCCTTAACAGGAAATGAGAGCTTGAACCACCCGCAATACAGGCGTTGCTGCGCCACATTCCAGACAAAATAGAGTTAGATTTATGGCTAGGGTTAAGGCTAACGAAATGTAATTTAGGGTTCATTTTAGGGTTATTGTAAACTGTAAGTTCAGGGTTTATGGTAGGGTTAGGTTTAAGATTAGGATGGTGGTTTAGGTTTATGTTAGGGCTTATGAAAGAGGTAGGACAATAGAAAATTTATCTTTCCTGGAAGTATTCATAGAACTCCCCTTACTACTTCGGCAGCGCATTCCTATGTCTGCGTCTTGTTAAAGGCGCCATATAAGTGATACTTAACAGATTTTTCGTACAAGAAGTTGAGGGACTGGACAGCTTATGATTCGAACCATGATCCAATTGATGTTA